CACTAGCATAGCGCAGCACTACCGTTTTCACCACCTGTGCAACTGGCGTCCTTGCTTGGATTCCGATTTAATTTTGTAGGCCCTCACTAGACGCACTTGGCTTGATGATTTTTGCCTAGATTCTCACCACCTGTGGCTGATGCCATACCCTTCGGCCATATTATTAAGTCCCTTGTGGGACACCATATTGGAATAGACCTACAAGCTCCATATTGGAATAGATTGGCTTAGAGTTAATCTTTTTTTTGTCTTTTTTGCATGGAGTCTGCCATGCCAGGGGGGTGTTGGGTGATTGGATACGACATGAGCAGGGAACCATCTGGGGTTTTTTACTTGTTGATAGTTAGACTAGATACATTTAAGAAACTGGTGTACAACTATTATTATCCAAAAGTATCCAAAAAGTTGTGCCTCACAGTATCCAGAGTGAAATGGTAGCCAATACCAATACAACTAACAATAAGCTAGGTTAGTGTGCAGGTGTCATACTAATAATTGGAAAAGTCGGTGGAATAATACATGAAGATCAGGGATTCTAGTTACCCCTGCAACATGAGCTGGTAACGATAACGAAAGTTTCTTGCTTACCCCTCTGACAATGTAGGCTCATTATACAAGGTTAGGTATCAACACCTTTAAGAAAATTCAACTCCATTACACGTCCAACACCTTCCTTAACATATCATCACTTTATATCCAACCTATTTTCTACATTCACCAGTTCTATCTTATTCTAAAATCAAGATATACCCTTCAAAACTACTTTGACAGCAAGATTAATTGTCACCTCTCAGCCTATAGTCCTAGTAATGGTTTTCAAAATGGGAGGTCTATACTAGGTAAAATGGTAAAAGATTAATATTGCCAAAGGATTGCATTGGTGTTAAAGACGATTGCCACCCTCTAGCCTTTAGTCCTAGTGATGTGTTCAAATAGAGGGTCAATGTTAGATGCAAATGATGAAAGATCTGCTTTATTTTGGTATATTTGGTATTAGTATAACTTGGAACCAACTCTTGCCCCACTTGTTGTACATCAAGCCACAGTTGGAAAACAAGTGTACCAATCCTAATTATGACTTGGAAGCCAATCTGTATATAGTGGCTGCAGTACCTTCATGTAATTAGGTAATCAAATTCTCTAGGTAGCTAGATGCCAGTCAAGGCATAATATAGGTTTTAAATTTCCTTTTTCTATAATCTTGAGTGGTGCTAAGAAGCTTAGGCAGATAGGCCGCAATTGTGAACCTTGCATTAAACTCTTTCTAGCAAAAAAAGATGTATACTATACCATAAGTTTGTAAATCTTATACTTGCAAGTCTAAAATTTATAATAAAAATAGTGAATGGGGACCACCTGTTCCTTCAAAAAAAAAAATAATAATAATAATATTTATTTATAACTTCTTTAATATAAAAATATTATAATTGATATGTTTTAATATTGATATGATCTGATATTAATATATTTTAATATTTATATATTTGTCAATATATTTTACTATTAATATGTATAAATATTGTTTATTTATTTATTGTTTAGAGTATTTTTTTTGAAGTATATATTTATAATATATTAAATTTAAAGAAGTAAATAAATTATAATTTTTATAAACTAAAAATATGTATAATAAGATTTTTTCTTATTTCTATATAATTGATAAGAAGTTTGATATTTTTCTAAATCATTTGGTTTATTGAATAAAATCTAATCTTTCTTAAGTTTTTGCAATATTTAAAAAAAATATTTAACCTAACATATAACTAATTATAGTAATAGCAGAAATTATTTTTTAATTTACTATTAATTAAAATTTTAAAAGTTTTACAATATACTAGATATAGTTATTTGTTATAAATATTAATATATATATTTGTTTTATACTTGTTATTATTATTAAATTATTAAAAAAAAACATTAAAATATATAAAACTTGAAACATTATAACTTATTGATTGTTTAAAAAATCAAAAGTTCTATTTATATAAAAAATTTTTTGTTCTAAAAATTTAATTAAGATTAAATTTTTTGAAAATTAATTATTATTTAAAAAACAATAATATTTATAAAAAGATATTTTTCAACTTTTATTTTATTATTAAAAGGTTATTGTTTTTTAAATAATAACAAAAATATCAATTGTAATATATAAATAAATAATTGATCATAATAATCATTTAGTAAAATAAGTTATTGTTGATTAATATTTTTAAAATTGAATTGAATTTTATATATCGATATAAATACAGTAATATCTTTAAAATTGTTTAATACAATATAATAAAATTATCATATATTATAATTTTATATTAAATTTATATTAAATTTTTCAATAATAAAAATAAATACGTAATAAAATAGAATGATATAATACAGAATAATTAAAATAAAATAATAAAATAAATAAATATCTTATTATTATAATTAATTAATTAATTAATTATTATTATTAAATAAATATAAATAAATTGAATTGATGAATCGAAAATACAAATGCCATTATGTATATTTTATTTTAAATACGTTGAGTTGGTAGGGAAGCAGATGTTCTTTCATTTTGCATCAAACAAATTAATAAAAAATAAGAATTTTTTTTACGAAATTTTCTGTTCCAGATAAATTTATAAATGCATTTAAAAAAAATAAGTTTTATAAATTAATTGAATTTTTCGATTATTAAAAAAATTTTTTTTAAATAATCAAGCAAAATATAATTTAAAAACCTTACATGCGTTTTTTTTTTTTTTCGAAAGTTCCACTGCATACATGTTTTATTTCCATCGATCAATTAATCCCAAGTCCGTCAGTATTTAGGTTTTTACTAAATAAATCAAAATTTCTATATTAAAACGTATGATCTAGAAATTGTTATGATGTTATTCAAATGCATATCGAAAAACAACACTAAATTATATTATAGTAAATTTATTTTTCTGCTTGTAATAGGAAGTGGTGTGAATTTTGACAGGTCGAAGCAAAAGCACGAATAGAATGAATTGACTAAATTGAAATAAATATTATTCTCGGATAACTTTTTGGCCAAATCCTCACACGACCAACTAAAAGAGAACACTTTTTCAGAGATCTAGCAATGAAATCCGTGATAAATTGTTCATATTTAAAGAAATTTTTTGGATGGTATTACCAAGTACCTGCCTTCTTGAACTCTAATTCTAAATACAGATTCTGAAAATCAATAAATGTCATTTACACTTGTTTCTGTTTCCCACGCAAAAAGAAAATATCGATCTTTGAAAGATAAAATATCATCGGGCATAAAAAACTTATCATAGAAAGGAATATATCAATACCTCCGCTAAATAACACTTATAATACACGGTGAAGTACCGACCTGCATGGAAATGCGATAAATTTTCTGACCTATATTAAGCCCTTAAATTTTTTTCAATAACGTCTCACGTGTTCGTTTTTAAAATCAACTGCAGAGGTTTTGGTGGAAATAGTCTTGTGATATTCAGACCGTCGATTTTGATCTCCCTCATCTTCATTTTCGAAGACACCGCTAGCGTCTTTGTCCTTTTCTTTCTCTCGGTCTCTATCTCTACTTTTTCCGACTTTGTTTCTACTTTGATCTAGAGTCTTACTGGTCCCATTAATCTCCCGCGAATCGACTGTGTGTGGTGATCCCGAAGAAGTTTTTCTATCATCGTTCTCGTCCAGCAGAAGCCATCGGTGATTCAGTGACTGACGTGCCATAGACCTCTTATCGGGATTTAAATCCAACATGGGCAGTAAGAAATCTGCCATGAAATCGGCTTCATTTGGTGGAAGCAGATACTTTTCCTGCAGAACGTCCGGAAGCTTCCAATGTCGGAGTTTATGGATGTGACGGAGTTCACCTATCAAAAAACATTTCGAATGAACAGCAATCTCTTAAGGAAATCATAAACCCAAAACAGATAGATGAAAAAACACACCTTTGCGATTAAATATATCGCTGGAATATTTGCCATTTAACGCTAAATGTTTAGGAAATAATCCTAACAACTCCATAATCTGAGCTATGTGATCTGTAAAGAAAAATTTCAAAAAAAAATAAGTCCGTAAATGCTTCAAATGAAAGAAAGTCACAAATCGTCTATTTTTCGTCTCACCATCATCCTTATTATATCGAGACCCAGCCTGTGGGTCAAATAAGTAATCGCCGGTAAAAAGTTCAAATACCTGTACAAAAATAGAAACATCTAAAGTCACTGAATATTCATTGAGGATAATTGCGCCTAGAAATTGGTGATAATAGAATCAACAAATTTACCATACAAGCCATACTCCAGATATCGGCGCTGGGACCCCATCTACTACCCAAAATGACCTCCGGACTTCTGTATTGTCTTGTTTGTATGTCGTTCGTGAAATGATGATCTACCCAACAAGCATTACCCAAATCGGCAATTTTAACCGTAATAGTATCAGGGGTAGTCCATTTGGTCGAGCTAGATGGTTTACGCGTTAGTTTAGCTTGAGATGTGGAAGTAACTATAGATGAAGACGAATTTTGATACGAAGTAGAATCGACAAGAGAAATGTCATTAAGGTTACGTTCCAAAGTGTCACTAGAATTATTGTTGAAAATTGTTAAGAACTATGCATATTGTAAGATAAAAAAAAAATATTTTTTTTACATTCTTACGTAGTAGATTCTCGGGGACTATGATTTTCATATATTTCACTATCATCACCAATCCTTTCGTCATTCCTATTTAACCCCTCTATCTCTTCATCATTATCATTATCAGTTCCAACACCACTCTGTGGCGGTTCCTTAACAGCTTTTTTCTTCAATTTTAATTTTAGTTTCTTCTTTTGACTCTTTGACATACCTTGTGTTGACTGGCTTGTTGTTGGCGATACAGATGATGGTGATGACAGAGGTTGACTTCCGGTGATGCGTAATTGATTTCCTTTTTTGGTAGAAGAAAGAGCTGTTGGTTTTGCACCACTCAAAAGTTCATTCCTTACGACCTCCTCCACGTTATCAATGCAGACCAATACGTTCTCAGGCTTTAGATCTGTGTGAATTATGCCACATTCTCTATGCATATAATCCAATCCCATGAGTACTTGTTTAGTTATTTGTTTCACCAAGTGAGCTGGAACACCTCGATGGTTATACCGTTTTATCAAACTCAGTAAATTTTCTCCCAACACTTCGAACACCATGCACACATGGGTACCATTCGGTCCACGATGATGAAAATGATCCAAGAGCTCTACGACATGTTTACGTCCTGGCGCCTCTGGATTTGCATCTACAATTTTTTGTAACAACTTAATTTCATCTAAAGCCGTTTCCGTGTAATGTGGAGCTGATTTGACAACCTTAAGAGCGACATGTCGATTGAGGCTTTGAAAATGATGTCATGCGCATATTAAATTACCACATTTTGTGTAAGAAGGAAATAAATTAAATTAAAGTTAAAAGAACAATCGGTTTTCAATTGACTTATTACTAATTAGTAAATTATTTCATACCGATTATCTTTTGCTAACCAAACAGTCGAAAAATGGCCCCAACCTAACTTGCGTACAACGGTGTATCTACCTTCGTTGAAAACATCATTAATTTTAACAGGGTGATAACCCCCCTTACAATAATCCTCAAGATCCTCCTCGTCCTCCGCCACGACTCTTTCTGACTCTTCCGCGGAGGATGAATTTGTAGAGGAGGTCGAGCGTTCTTCGTTACGCGAGTTGGTGGACAAGGGGTGAGGGTGGCTAAAAAGATTTAAGCATATATAAGGAAACGGTATCAAATATTAGTAAAGGTGCGTTGTTTTCTATTTGGCGTTGAAAACAAGTAATATACATTTTATTTGAACTATGGGGAGACGTCGGGGAAAGCACTGGTGACATTGGGGTTGTAATTCCAGGTCTTGTAGGTGTGCTAGGCATAGCAGGAGTTTTTACACTAGGGTCAGTACGTTTTCGTCTCTTTTTTTGTGTAGAAAGTTGCTTGGCTTTTAGGGCAACTCGTTTATCAGACATTGATCTCACGCCGAGCCCAAGTATTAAAATGTTAGGTGTGAAGGAAGTAATAGTCCTTGCCTTGATTTGGGGCGTATTGTTTGTCCAATTGATGACTTCCTAGGTAGCATTTTCACGATCTCTTGTCTGATTTTGTAGTAATGATTGTTTCGATTACGATTAAGGATAACCGTGCCACACTATTCACGTCATTGAAAGTCCATTACATAATATGTACGTACCTACATATATATCATCCATGAGCCACAATAAAATTTGTACCTTGTAAAATTAACCAATCGTTTCACAGAGTTGACGATGCATGTTGCAAATATTTAGAATATATGCAAAAATTCTTCTTACTTTGTAATAATTTAACAAACAAAACGTAGTTAAAACCATATTAGTGTCTATTCATTATTATTTAAAAAAATATTATATGCACGAATAGCATATATATTATTGTTATCACCATTTTTATTCCTAAACCGAAATTATATTATTGTTATCACCATTTTTATTCTTAAACCCCGAAATTATATTATTGAATATCTTAATTTATAATAACAAATAATATTTGTTATTATTTGCTCAATATAAAATTTCATTAAATTAAAATAATTTAAATTATTATATTTATATTATTTAAAAGTAAAATAACATTGCTTAAATTTATAAACAAGTTTAAGCAAATTTAATCTTTATTATATTAAATATTTATAAAATGTTTAAAAAAATTAAATTAATTATATTTTTTAAAATTAAAAAAAAAATTTTAAAAAACTAATTATGATTACATATTATAATAAAAAAAAAAAATAATAATAATATATTGTGTATGGAATTATATAACAAATAATTAATTCATTATTTAAAAAATAAATAAATAAATAAAATTAATATAATATATATATATATAATAAATATATTGTAATTAAATATTAAAATTATATAATTAACAATAAAATTATATTATATTTATAATTTAGTAAAATATTTATATAAATATTTAATTAATTTAAAGTTTTAAAACCAATATATTATTTATATTAAATTATAAAATTTAATAAAAAAAACAAAAAATTTTTTTTGACAAATATTAAAATTTCTAAAAAAATTTTTTTTTAGTAAAATCAAAAAAAAAAGATAAAAAATATATTTACTTTTAGATACTAAAAAATATTTAAAAAAACAAATATTTTATACTTTTTAACAATAAATCAAATAATTTCTACTTTAAAAAATTAATTATTTTCTATTATTTATTTAATTCTTTTAAAAAAAATAAGTAAAAATTTATATAAAAAAAAACAAAAAACAAAATAAACAATTTATAGTAAAATCAAAAAAAAAAAAAACCAACATCAATTTTATAAAACTGTTAGTCAATTATATATTAAATTAAATACTTTTTTAAATATTAATAAGATTTTATATAAATTAGATTATATTTAATAAATTAGATAACTTCAAATATTAACAAAACTTTATATTAATCAAATTATATTTAATAAATTAGATAATTTTGAATATCAATATAAAATTAAAAAAATATTAAAAATTTTTTTTCAAATTTTGATTAAATAAATAAAATAATATACAGTATATATATCTATTGTTTTTTCAAGTTTTATTTTATTTTTATTTTATTTTTTTTTTCAGATAAAAGATACTATATATATATATTTATTTATTAAGTTATTTATATCTAATTATATATATATTCAAGTTCATTTAAGTTAATCTTATACTTTATCTATAGATTTATTTAGTGTATCAATTAAATATTATAAAAGTGAATTTACTGTATATTCTAAGAGGAACCTTTAGAAAATAAAAATTTTATTACTAGTTTTAAACTATCTAATCTAATCTAAATCTTGTCTTAATTGTATTTATTATAGGAGAAATGTCAATATTATCTTTTAAAAATTTATAAAATATCTAAATATCTTAATATTTTTTATTTCAAATTTCAAATTTCTTTAGATTTTATATATTATAAACAAATTTTACTTAAAATCAAAATTAATTTATTCCTTTTAAAGAATCAGCAATAATACTATATAAATACAAATATATTTTAAAACTAAATAACTCTATTATTAAAATAAGAAAAAAATATTTGAACTATATATATAATAAAATTGAAGTTAGATATTTTTCAAAAACTGTATTATATTGAAATTATTAAATAACATATAATAAATAATTGAAAAATATATTTAATTTAGAATTGTATTATTAATTAAATTTCTTTTATAGTAATAAAAAAACATATATAATCTAAATTATAAAGATTAAATATATATTAAAAAAATAATTCTTTTTAAATCAAGAATATAGACTATAAAAGTATATGGATACAACTTTTTTTGCTGATCCTTTTGCCAACCCAAAAACAGACATTCTCAAAAGATTTTTTGTCTTTATGATAATAAAGTCTATATACTTTCTTTAAAAACAATACTGGTTTTAACCAGCAGAGCGAGCAGAAGCCACCATTTGTTTTATTTTTCTTTTTCAAAACACTTTTCTTGTTTATTTTTGTGACTAAATACAAAAAACCCATCTAAAAGGTCTATGGCAAGAACAAAAAAACTGACAAGAAAAAATACCCTCCAAAGACTCCCAAAAGATTCAAAAATCTAGAGAAACAAGAATAAAGAAGTTTCCAGTCTTTCCATCATCTCTTTGGCTTCCCACTTCTTTTTTTTCAAGCATGTTTCCTTTTTTCTAGTTTTTCTAGGGAATTTTGCC